TGAATCATGGTGCTAAAGAAGACTCTTAAGAGTCCTTTAGACAGCAAGATCAAATCGGTCAATCCAAAAGGAAATCAACCCTGAATATTCACTGGAAGGACTGATGCTGAAGCTGAAACTCCAATATTTTGGCCATCTGATGCGAAGAGCCTACTCATTGGAAAAGACCCTAATGATGGGAAAGACTGAAGGCAAAAGGGGAAGGGGGCGGCAGGAGATGAGATAGTTAGATAGCATCAGTGACTCAAGACATGAGTTTGAGCAAACTCTGGGAGATGGCAAAGGACAGGAAACCTGGCATGCATATATGGGGGTGCAAAGAGTTAAATACAACTTAGTGACTGAGCAGCAACAACAATTTACAGTAAATTATTACTGTAAATGGAGGGTGCGAAATATCAATTGCTTCAATTTATTGTTTTCATGTTCCTTTTAACATAGTTGAACTATTAGAAAAAAACAATTCTTCGGGGTTCTGATCTTATTAATAAAAGCACTTTCATTTTGAAATAAAAATACTAACACATGACAGAGATAACTACATGCTATTAGGTAACTAAACTAATTTTGGACAAGCAATAAGTAATGCATTATAGTAACTATATTCAGTCAGAACATAAATGTTTTGCTGGAAGCAGGTTCGAATTAGAATCAGTAAAATATATTTTTTAAGTTCACAAAGAGAAGAAATTTTAGCTCATAAAATTATACAAACTGCTTAATTATGTATTAGGCTTAAATGTATATATAAATGCCCAAGTATTAATAGTAAACNACTCTTGAGAGTCCCTTGGACTGCAAGGAGATCCAACCAGTCCATCATAGAGGAGGTCAGTCCTGGGTATTCATTGGAAGGACTCACGCTGAAGCTGAAACTCAGTATTTGGCCACCTCCTGTGAAGAGTTGACTCATTGGAAAAGACCCTATTGCTGGGAAGGATTGGGGGCAGGAGGAGAAGGGGTCAACAGAGGATGAGATGGCCGATGGCATCACCGGCTCAATGGACATGGGTTTGAGTAAACTCTGGGAGTTGGGTGATGGACAGGGAGGCCTGGCGTGCTGTAATTCATGGGGTCGCAAAGAGTCGGACACGACTGAGTGACTGAACTGAACTGAAAGATAAAATATTCTAAAATGAAACTGTATCACTGTATGCCTCTGCAAATAAGTAACTACAGTATGTATCAGATTATTCCCATGCCAGTCTCTGGCAGTACAGGCGCGAGGAAACTGGCTAAGGCAGGTTTGAATTCAGATTTCTTCATCTTGATATACAGGACATATATTTCAGTTCCATTTTAGTATCTGTTTTTGAGTTAGCTGGAATAAGATTTCCAGAACAATGGATGATGCCTGGGGAAAGAAGCCTGAAATAGCAAATTAATCAGGTATTACTGTTCCTCTTTCCATAGCTCACTGTAGCTCATACAGGCGTTTTGGGTCATAAAGTGATATCTTTTATCTTAAAAATGAATATTTCATAAAGATGATGATAGTATCACTCAGCACCAAAGCTTGACTGGTTGTTGACCTTAGGCAGTTACCTATCTAAGCTTTTTGTTGTTATTCAGTAGCTAACTCATGTCTGACTCTTTGCATCCCAGTGGACTGTAGCATGCCAGGCTCCCCTGTCCTCCAATATCTCCAGGAATTTGCTCAAATTCATGTCCATTGATGGTGATGCTATCTAATCATCTCATCCTCTACCGCCCCTTTCTCCTTTTGCCTTCAGTAGTTTCCTTATATAATAACATTTACCCCTTCCACCTCATCTCAGGGCTGTTATGAAAAATAAATCAGATAATATATAAAGCCAGGCATGTTCCAGGTTCTCAGTAATATTGGTTTCCTTTTATACCTTTCTTTTCCCTTTAAAAAAGAGACTTTTAAAGCCAACATCGCAAAGTTAAGTCTCTGAAATAGAGAAGGTCGGTATTATTAATATTTAATTCTATGAGATGGAAGTTTTTAAAATACTGTTTTCTGGTTATAAATGTAATTCATAGTCATTATAGAGGGTTTAGGAGAAATAAGTAAGCATAAATAAAAATTAAAAATATAATCCTACTATCAAAAGTTTATTACTATTAAAATTTTGGTATCCTTTTAGTCTTTTTTCTGTATTTTATCACATCTTGGGGGAAAAAAAGCATTTCCCAAGTGTTCTCTGCCCAGCTATTCCTCTCTTTCAAAGGTTTCACAGCCAGATTTATTAAAATCATCTCATTCTTGGTTCCATTTCTTTCTATACAAATCTATTCTCAGGAGATATATACCCAGGTTCTCCTGGTCAGTAAATGCAACACATATTTTGCTATCTTTAAAAAAAAAAAAATCTCTAATATTCTGCACTACAAACCACTCCTTTATTCTTGAGATGTTTTTTTCCCCATGACTTGTGATTTTTCTTTTATTTCTTTGGTCACTTCTTATTCTATATGGATCCATCATGTTTAGTCTTTTAAAATTTGGTATTTTTGTAAGTGCAGTCATGAATCCTTTTCTCTTGATGATTTCAACCACTCCCATAGCTTCAGGTGCCATGTCAATGCTGATGTTTTAGAAACTATCTTCTGATCTCACATTTTTCTATGGGCTTTCAACCCGTATTTCTCTATATGGGCATATTTACTTATCTTTATTTGGATGTTTTTGAGGTTTCTCAAACTCAACAAATCCTAAATCACCTTCAGTGTATCATCTCTCCCTCCTACAGACAAAAATTTGTGTCTCTTTCTGCCTACCTTCCCGTATACTCATTTATTCAAGTTGGAAATCGGATTCTGCACTGACTTCTCTCACTCAACCACTGTATCTGGTCGATTGCCTGTTTGTTAATCCCAAATCCCTCATGTTTCTTAGTCCCTCCAGATCTCTTCTGCTTTGTTTGTTCAATTATTTTTATCTGGCAGGAGACCCCAGTTCGATTCCTGGGTCAGGAAGCTCCCCTGGAGAAGGGATAGGCTATCCACTCCAGTATTCTTGGGCTTCCTCTGTGGCTCAGCTGGTAAAGAATCCACCTGCAATTCAGGAGACCTGGGTTCGATCCCTGGGTTGGGAAGATCCTCTGGAGAAGGGAAAGGCTACCCACTCCAGGATTCTGGCCTGGAGAATTCCATGGACTGTATAATAGTCTATGGGGGCGCAAAGAGTCAGACACAACTGAGTTGACTTTCACTTTCACTAATTGTATATTTTATCAAATACATGTTATAGCCTTCTTCCACTGAACTATAAGTTCTTTGTTCATTGCTATATCCTCCATGCCTTTCTGTTTGCCTGGCACATAGAAAGCATTTAATAAATATTGTTTAATGAAAAAACAAATTCTCAGCAGTGTAAGATTTCTTGCCTAGATCACTGAATCAACCGGTCTTCTTGCACATAGTTATGCTGTTTCAATTCAATGCCCATGTGGCAACCAGAATGAACTTTATAAAATTTAACCATGTCACTCTCTCATTTGAAACTCATTGATGACTTGCCATAGCCCTTAGCATAAAGTCCCAGTTCCCTATGTTGACTTAAGTCCTTCGTGAACTGATCCTTCAACTTTTCCATTTTATCTCCTACCACCACCGATTTCAAACTGTGGGTTCTAGGCATACCAAACGTCCATTATTTGCCCAGAAATACTATGCTTTCTTACCTCTAGACATTTTTGCACATAATGATTATTTTCTCTGGAAACTCACTTTTTCCTTTGTGTGGCTGATTCCTAATACTTAAGGCAACAGTTAAAAGGCATGGCTGTAGAGAATTCTTTTGACCAATATCCTTTATCTTTTTATAGTAAAAAGTATCCTGTAATCTTTTCATAGCAGTTATCCAGTTTATTGTAAATGCTTCTTTAATTTTCTAATTTTACCCCTAGAATATAGCTTCTTGAGTGAAAACAGTGTCTTTCTTGATTTCCATCAGCTCCTGGCACATAGTAGATGTTCAGTGCTTTTGAAAGAAAGAAACACACACACACACACACACACACACATGCAGTCATCATTATTCATGGATTCTGTATTTGTAAATTTGCTTTCTCACTAAAATTAATTTTTAACCCCAAATTCATATTTGTAGTACTTTCATGGTCATTTGTGAACATATGCAGAGGTGAAAAATTTGAATGCTCAAGTTCTCAGTGGAGGTTGAATAAGGCAACACCATGCCTCTTGCTTTAGTTCACATACTTAAAAGCATTCTTTTCATGGTACATTATTTAATGTCACTTTTTAAAATCACATTTTTATGTATTTTTGTTCATGCTTTTGCTTTTTAAAATGGCCCCCAAGTATAGTGCTGAAGTGTTGACAAGTGTTTCTAAGTGGAAGGCTGTGATATGCCTTACAGTGAAAATATGTCTGTTAGAACAAGCTTTGTAGAGGTATGCCTCTACGTGGTTGACCTTTAGTTCAGTATCAACAAATTAATAATATATATTAAATAAAGTATATTTTAAGAGAAATATACATAAAACAAAGTTATGTTAGTTTCTTGATAAAAATATTGTCAGAGGCTCACAGAAACTAACTCTGTATTTTCCGTAGGAGTTAAATGCTTGCTAACTCTGTGTACAGTGATTTTACAGAATATAACTAGCACAAATAATGAGAGCTGACTGTATATGTAATTGTAAAATTTTGCTCATAATGTTTCATAACTTGCTTTTTTCCCCCCACATAACTGTGTATATATGTCATGCACATACTAAAAATAATGAATATTGATCTTATATGTTAATTATGAAGTAAGAAAAAGAACTATATGTGTTCTTGTATGTTTATATGAGTATGGAGACAAATGTGATTAACACATATCAGGTTATGTTGGTTACCTAGGGGGTGAGTAATTTTTTAAAATTTTATATTGTCTTAATGGTTACAATGACCATGTTTCTGGTGCAGACACTCTTGTAAACCATGATTTTTAGTGATTTCATTTCCTTTCGGGAAAGAACTAAAGTTTCGACTAAGTATGGCATTTGAATTTTCCTGCATTTCAGATAGTCAGAGGCTACAGTTGGATCTACAAAAAATGGAGCTTCTGGAAAGTAAAATGACTGAGGAGCAACAATCTCTAAAAAACAAAATTAAGCAAATGATAACTGATCTGGAGACATATAATGATTTGGCAGCTTTAAAATCATCAGGTGAAGAAAAGAAAAAGGTAAATGATAATAATGCTATGAAATTGTAATTCAAATTGTTTTTCTTGATTAAATTTAATAATATATGTGTTTTTAAAACTTTGTAAGTTTATTTTCAGTTGATTACTTGATTTATAAGGAAAAAAATAAAAATGTTTAACATACAAAGTAGGAATTTAGAGTGATTTAAATTTCAAAACAAAAGACAAAAATTGAAAAGCAAGGGATAGAGTGCTTCAACAAATATAATAATTGTGTCCTCAGTCATTACTGACTCTTTGAGACCCCATGGATTATAGACCATCAGGCTCCTCTGTCTATGCAGTTTTCTAGGTAAGATACTGTAGCAGGTTGCCATTTCCTACTCCAGGGGATCTTCCCAACCCAGAGATCAAAGTTGTATCTCTTTCATCTCCTGCATTGGCAGGCAGGTTCTTTTCCACTTCACTACCGGGGAAGCCCTTCAACAAATATAAACTTTGTTAAATGCAAATTTGATTAGGATATTTCTCTACTTAAGACTTCTCAGTGGCTTTTCATTGCCATTTACATTAATTTAAAGTAAATCTGGTGGAGTACAAACACGTAAGGCAGCCCTGATAAGTTATTATTTATATTGTTAATATTAATTTGGCTTATTATGAAGTTCCTCAGTGACTCAGCAGTAAAGAATCCACCGGTCAGGACCCACCAGACTCAGGTTTGATCCCTGGGTCAGGAAGATCCCCTGAAGAAGGAAATGGCAACCCACTCCAGTATTCTTGCCTGGAAATCCCATGGACAGAGAAGCCTTGTGGGCTACAGTTTATGGGGTTGCGAGAGTTGAACACAACTTAGGGACTAAACAACATGAACACAATTTAGCTTATTATAGTTAGAAGAATATTTTTACAAACAGGTTTTCTAGCCTTGGTAGGATTTTATTAGAATATTACTGATATTATTTAAGTCAAATGCTATTTTTATTGATTTACTAGATACCTGCTAAAGCCTTTTATTTACTTCCATTTTGATCTATCTAGAAGTTACATCAGGAGAGAACAGTATTATCAACTCGCAGAAATGCCTTTAAAAAAGTAATGGAGAAACTAAACACAGAATGTGAGACACTAAAAACACAGCTGCAAGAAAACGAGACACATTCTCAGGTAAAAAAGGAGAAAGGACTGAAATTCATTTCTAGTTTTAGATTATCTGGCATGTCCTCTTAATCTGTATTTTCACCCTCAAAGCAACCCATTCCTTTTTTTTAATCGGCTTTGTTTACCTACCAGATTTTCTGGCTTTGAAGATAGCTAGATTCTGTACAGTCTCCACTCAGAATGAGTTTACTCCTGCTTTCCTGCCTTCTATAAACCTATATTGAAGGCCAGCTCTAGGCTTGGCACTATTCTGGACACAGCCATTATGATAATAGCTTTTAAAAATATCACAAGTAAAGTGTTTTAAATGCAGAAACATTGCTAATACATCAATGCCACAGATAATGAAAATGAGCCATAATGACCAGTATCCCACCACCCAGAAGAGATGATTTTATGCATATGTGGATAGATATTTCTAGTCTATATGTATGTGGTATGAATACATTCACTTTATACATACACATAAGTATATGTTATTTCTGTATATTTATAGAAATGGCACTATATTGTACCTATTATTTGGAAACTTGTTTTTCATTATTAACTATACTTTCTCTTGTCAGTAAATTTTTTAAAATATGATTCTATATCATATTTGACTCTTTGGATATAGCATAATTTTATAGCATAATTTACTGAGTCAGTTCCAAATTGTTAAGACATTTTGGTTATTTCTTATTTTAAAACTGTTCAAATAATGCTATGAAGAGCAGTCCTATTCTTGAATTTCTTTATTTACATTTCTGATGATTTACTCAGGTTGCAAAGGCAAACCCTTTTTCCATATCACTCATCCTGCTGATAATTACCTCAACAAGGTCTGAGAGGTCTTCTAGATTGAAGGGCAGAAGCCTAGTCTCTGTCCCTCACTTTCTCCCCAGCACCGTGTTAGTGGTTGGCACATGATAAGTGTTCAATAAGTATTTTTTGGTGGATTAAATGAAGCATGCATGTCATATACAAAATCAGTTATTACGGTCTGATAAAGGTTGGTTATTCTCACATCAAATTAGTCTATGTTAACAATTTGCAGCTATGATTTATTAATGCTAAATGCATTAAATTTTTTCTTCATGTGGTAACATGATCATGATAGATAGCCATCATTAACATTTTGGCATAATATCCTTGTAAACTTTTTTCCTTTGCAGTTATACATCCTTAATTATATTGTTCTTACAAATAATGAAATCATTCTATGCATACAGTCTTCAAGCATTTCTTTTCTTATTTAAATGTTTTCAAGCTCTTTTTTTTTATATTTTTAGGATGTCGGCTGTTTCATTGTATGTATGTACCTTTTAAAAAAAGATAAACCTTATATTCTTCATAAAAGGGATGGACTCTGATCAAAGTTTGCCACAAACTTAGAAATCACTAATTTACATGTTTCAAATTTATTAGTCAATTACTCTGTCTCTGCTTTACAATATACAAGCCTATTTATAGACTTGTAAATAACAAATTTATCTTTGTCTGTTTAGAGTTGGAATGGATACTGGAGAAGAAAACATAAGAAAAAGTTAATGAGGCCATTGTCTTATGGTTCATAGGAAAGAGCATTGATACTTCATATGGAATTCGGCCCTCTTCTTTCACTGAATAGATGATTTAAAGAGAAAAACATTTGATAAACAGGGTTTCCTAGAGCCAGTCTGTGGCTGCCTTGTTTATTCCCACATTAAGTGCTAATCTTATTCTTAACCCCATCTACAGGAATTTGTAACATAAACCACAATTTATAATGCTTCTCTGTATTATGGGTTGCCTTTTATGAATCCCAGTTGTTTGAATCAAATCCTGGTCTCCCTATTTTTTAAAGTTATTTTCTTAGAAACTGGCTTTGAGATCTATAAAAACATGGCATAACAGACCTTTTTTGAGTGGTTATTTGATATCATTTAAACCTATTTATATTGGAACAAACTGCAAAACTCCTAGAAGAAAACATAGGGAAAAAGCTCCTTGACATTAGTCTTGGCAACAAGTTTTTTTTTTTTTTTTTTTTCTGAAGAAGCTGAAGTTGAAGTACTATGCTGACCTACAAGGCCAACAAGTTTTTATTGTTAACACCAAAAAGCCCAAGCAACCAAGGCAAAAATAAATAAATGGTCCACATCAGACTAAAAAGTTTCTGCACAGCAAATGAAACAATCAACAAAATGAAAAAGCAGTTTACAGTTTGGGAGAAAATATTTACGAGTCACATGTTTCAGGGTTATGCAAAGCATAATATAAAGAACTCATGATAGACTTTTAAAATAAGTTGTAGGAAGAAAAGAGATTGTGCTTCTTGACATCCTTGGGGGTTTAAAGGCAAGGTTTAAATACATCACTGAAATAAATAAATGTATGGTATAGAAGGAATTTGACCATATGACATAGAGTTGCTTTTATAGCATTATTCATGTAGCACGTAAGAGGTTTGCTGCATAATAAGGCCACCCCTTTATATGAAACAAAGAGGGAAAATTTGGTACTTGACTTTGCAAAAGGTTATTTGAGATTTATTGTCCAAAAGTGCTGACTGCTTCCTTAAGTCCATCTGAATTTCAAGGTTCTATCAGGGGAAGCTAGATCTGATTTCGTAGCATTAACTCACAGCACATACAGTTCATATAATTAGTTATGACTCATCCTAATATCTAGATTCATCTCCTTGGAGGAAACAATGGGATAGATGCTACACTGATACTGAACTTATGCCCTGAAAATAATTTTAACTTGAGTTTAAGAAGAAATATGAATGCTGTTTCAGTTATCAGATTTTTTAAATGATTATTACTTCTTGGAAATATCCAGGCAGAACATTATTTTAATGTTTCATTTTTCAGACTTTCCTTTGCTTAGGAAAAAAACTATGTGCATCTTAAAAAGACCATAACCCAGAGTTACAAGGTTAATTAAATCAGAAAAACAATTTAATTCTATAACAGTAAAATTGTCTTTGGAGGAAGCAACCATCAATATAATATCCACATTAGCTTCCTGTTGATGCAGAAATTATTGTAAGAATGCCAGCTTTTTACCAGCCCTCTTATAATCTTTACACTGCAGCTCTGCTCTTATCACAGCTTGTGAAATTAGACAGGAAATTTAGCCCTGGAAATAAGGAAGTTTCTCCTATATAGCTGAACCTTTGACAGTGTTAGAATATGTAGTACTTTCATGGCATTAGACCTTCAGATTTCAAGGAGAGATTCTTATCATGTCCCATTCTTCTTTTTAAAGTTCTTTTAGGAAAGGGAAATATAAATTGTCTTTCAGTTGGTATGTTCATTGGTATAATAAATACGTTCCAATTAAAGTAAACAGAGTAAACTTGTTGAATTCAACACTCTATTTAGTACTATATTTACTATTGTTTAACTTTTTCTAAATTTCTTGTCTGTCATGGCTTTATCTCTCTAAAATGCGGGAGTTGAAAAGATTTAAAATTGAGGGTTTTTTCTTATATCTCAAAGGAGTGTATAATTGTTTTGAATATGGGCGCTGGTGAACATTTTTCTTTTGTGTTTTTAGCTCACAAATTTGGAGAGGAAGTGGCAACACCATGAGCAAAATAATTTTGTGATGAAAGAATGTATCCTTTAAAAAACTGCAAATGGACTTGACTGAGGGTTTTTTTTTTTTCCTAGGAATTTCTTTAAAGACTGAAATAATATTCAGTTCAACATCAAATACCTAATATGTACAAAATACTGGCTAAACTATGTGGGAAATGAATAAGACAGTTTCCATTCTACAATAGTGTGTGTGTGTGTGTGTGTGTGTGTGTGTGTGTATGTATACTAAAGTAACTAATAGAAGGCAGACCATACAAAGCCACATTGTGGCATAGTGACTAAGTACTCAGATTTTAGAGTCAGAAGATCTAATTTTAAATATTGACACTACTATGCATAGGTTATGGACTTTGGGCAGTTTACTTAACTGTTTAAACTGCAATGTTATCATCTCAAATACAGCTAATATTTCCTTCTCATAGACTTGTTGGGAGAATTATATATAACCATATATATGTATATGTGTGTATGTATGGTCATTTGTTGTTATTTATAATGCTGTACCTTAGATATCTGGGGAGCAAAGGGAGAGATAACCAAGAAATGTCATGAGAAATTTGACCTTCAATCTCATCTACCAAGATAGTACTTATGTCCCATCTTATTTCTATCAAGATAGTACTTACATTCAGTCTTTTTGCTCATCTTTTTGTGTAATCATAGATGGAAGCAGCAACTGACAACAGGTGTCGTGGAGTGTAAGAAGCGTTTCCCCAAAGGTTGTCTCCTAGTCCCTTCTTTGACCTATTCAAGAGCAACTCTGATTAGAGAACTAGATTCTAACTCACTGGTTGCATAGGTTCTCTAGGATGCTACTGAACATCCTTTCAGGGCAGCGTGGACCCAGCTTTCCTCCAGATGAGATGCTAAAGGTTCTATTCCCAGTGGTCGTGCAGTTTATTTTAAAAGCAGTTTTGTATTCACAGTTGGTTAAAGTCCAGAACTCTGGTTTTCTCTGACACAAAGTAGGTGATTTTGAAGCAGAGTGATGTCTAGAAACTTGGCTGAAATTCTGTGTGGTACTCTAAAGAATGTGGTTCTTCTGAACAGTGAATTGTTCTATGACCAGATTGAAATGAATAACATATTAACTCTAAAAATGTTTGTATACCATAGGTGACCTTTTTTGAAACAAGTTTGGCCTGGCCTTTTAGGGTTAGACCTTTTAGGTTTGATGCTTAATCTGTTAAAATACTGTTTGAAACTATTCTAATTGTGCTTTTTTGTGCATCTTCAGTTTTCAGTAAGAAAAATACTAGTATAATTTGGGTCTTTTCCACATGACAGAATTAGATTAATATTTGTATTGATATTGTTCCTCTTAACTCATGTACTTAGTCATAGCAACCAAGAGTCAAGAGAGTGATTACCAGTCGATTATGAAGAATGTGTCCAAGCGGATTGCAGAGTATAATAAAAGCATCATGGTTGCTCTTCGTAGCATGAACAGAAAGTGAGTCTGAACCAACTGCAAGTCTCTACAGAAATGTTCTCTTGCTGCTAAATTGTACATGCCATTAAAAAAATTGCTTACCCTTGACGAGTTTTACCTAAAAATTTTGAAAGTTGTAATTTCATGGCCTCTTCGAAGAATGATGCTTTAAATAGTATAATAGTTTAATAAATAGCTTATGTATTAAAAAAAGTATCATCTCCTTTTATATTTAGATTTGTTTTGTGTAGGTGATAAAAATGTCTCAGAGAACCAGGAGATAAAACAAACTAAAAGTAGCTATTGTTATTCATTTAGTTGGTATAATCTGTCTGTGGCAGCAAATGCTATCATCTTTTCATATGTCAAGCCTAGGAGGCATGCTTGGAGTATGATTCTGATTTAGCATTTATCAACCTTACCAACTTTTGCTTCTAGAAATCGATAATAAGAATAGAAGGGAGGTATTTAGTTTTGAGCTTTACTTCTCAAGCAAGATATATTTGATGTGTTTTAAGGCATAGAAATCACAGGTAAATACGTAACATTTTTTGTATGTCAGTTATTCCTTTGTGAAATTAAGACTGTTCTTTATTGGGAATTAATATTTTTTCTCTTTGCATTTAAAAAATTCTTTCTTACATGTATTTGCTAGGGAAAGCTTGAAATTTAAAATAAATGTTGTATTTACAGTGGACTCTTTCAGACTATGGCTGCTGCTGTTCATTTCTATTCCGGAATATGCATTCACTCTTTAGTACTACAGGAGGACTTAAGCAGATTAATTTATAAGCATTGCCAGCACATTTGAAAGATAAGGTGGAAGAGGTAGAAATGTATCATATCAATCTGGGGAGACATTATGGAACTGAAGATGTAGCCTGCTTTTTGGGAAGAGTGAGTCACTTTTGCCAGAATAAAGTATTCCTTAAAACTATCCTTCCTTTGCTCTGATCTTGCATTCCTCGAGTAGTTCTACTTCTCAGTTTTCATGAAACACAAGCTTATTAGTTTCTTTTTTAAAAAGGCTTTTTGAGTTAAAATTCACATATGATAAAAGTTCCCATGCATGTTCCTTACCTGAAGTAAATATTTATCATTAAATTATTCAATTTTAGTTCAGTGTGAGTTTAGGTAGAAGAGTGAACGTTGCTGAATTTGATTAACTCTGGATTACTAGTATGGCTGAAGATTGTGCCCATTGATACATTCATTAAGGTGGCAATCATAAAATATGTTCCTTAGATCCTGAGTTCTTCAGGTTTCTAATAGGTATTATACCATCAAAGGATTCATGGTCAAAGGAATTTGGGAAGCTTTATTTGAAACAAAGGTAAATTATTCTCTTCTTTTCTGCTCAGAACCCTTAATATGCTAATGTGCAACAAGTTCAAGAAGAATATATACTATTAATATTACAGTTTTTTTCTGAGTAGTGGGATTGTGGGTCTTTTCATCTTCATTGAAATGAACTTCCTGGTACTTTCTCAAAATTATTTGTGATGTCCATATAATAGTTAGACATGCAATAAAAATTCAAATTAAAAACATATATACAGTTAATACTTTTAACTTGTAGAAAGGACATATGATAGTTAGCTCTGCCGTAATGAGCTAGAACTTAACCAGTCTTTACTCAGAAAGTAGGAAGAAAATTGCCTTGTCATTATATATATGTGTTTATATTATAACATTGTGATGTTTGGCAGAAAAAAGTTGAAAATTTCTTGAAAAAAGCAAAATTTCCAACTTCCATTCTAAATTACTCATATATGATATTTGGGGAACATAACTGAGCAGGATTTCTTTAAACTAAAATGTGTTATCTGAGGGAAATTCTTACTAATGTCTCTTCCTTCCTCTCAGAGCTTTTCAACAAATCCAACAAGAATATTCCCTCTGCTAGGATAGACCTGGAAGCTACTATCTGCTTAAACCGGCTCTTCCTCAGTCAGTCACATTGCTCAGTGAGTTTCATTCCTGTTAAAATAACACCTTGTAAGTCATATGGAAAGAAGCTGTCAACTGAACAAACATGCTGAATAGCCTTACTAATGAAGATCAACATGGGAAAGTTAGCAAAAGCTTTGTTTTTCCCACCCTTATCTTTATCAGTAAATAAACATGAGTTCTTTATACTCTTTCACTAATGGGAGTCCCTGATTTGGACCATATTCTGGTTTCATGTTACAGTGTAAAACTCAGGCAGGGTAAGAGGATTAGAGTGTGGAGTCATGCTGCTCACACTGGAGATGAAAGATCAGTTAAGAGAAGCTCCAGGGGTTCTTGCTGCCCAGTTTCTCTGTAGTTCTTTCCTTTAGCTAGATGATTCCAGCATAAGCAACCTTAATAAATAAGAACATTTATACTTGAAATAAGAAATTGACAGACTCCTAGAGAACTGTGGTGATCTATTTTAAAATTAATGTATCTTTCATTTTTATTTACCTTTTTAAATAAAAGCAGGTTGTGTCTTTAAATTGCAGATTCACCGTTTGAGAAATGAGATTGAGTATCTTTAAAAAGATAGCTTTTAATACAAAGGTAGAAAATTTAAGAAAGACAGATAAAATGAAGAAAATTACTTGTGATCACATTAGTCTCTTAAGATGTGCATCTATATACATCTGTCATACATACCTATTTTTCATTATATACTTACATTTTTAAAAAAATTAAGATCATACTGTTCTTAAACTTTTGATCTTTATAGTTTTGCAGACATATATTCATGTCATTATATACTCCTGTACAACATGTTAAACTGCTGTATATTATTTTATTATAGGAATACTTTCTGAAAACAAACACCATGAATTGAATGAGGTTAGTGGGGTGTGGTTAGGCATAAGCTTTGAATTATGTAACTGAGTTTGAACCACAGCTCCACTGCTAACTTTTCATATGACCTAGGGAAGTTACTTAGTCTCTGAATTTCAGTTTCTTCATCTATAAAATGAAATAATAGTGCTTAACTCACTGGATTGGCTCAAAGAGTCAGAAGCAAGAGTCCAAGGCATTTTGACACAAATTGCTCTCAGGAACATGACATGAATAGCGTGTGCAAGAGCGCTTGTTTGCCTGCCCTCTCACCATCATTGGCATTATCCAGGTTTTGACAGTGCACTATATATATTTATTTTAGTTGTTTTAATTAAACCAAACTGCCTTCATCACTATAACTAAAAATTTTCTTGTGTTTTAATTAGGAACACAGTGCAGAATGTGTTTTCATACTAAAAAATATGATTTTAAAAATTCTATTAAAATACTTATTATAACTTTGTAATAACAAAAGGTTAATTCTTACTGCCTGTTTTTTAGTAGATAATAGATTATATTCTGCTGCCTCAGTATCTTTCCTCATAACATATTGCAATGAATTGCTGCTCTGAAACTAACTGTATAATCTTAAGGGACATAGGAATAACCTGTGTATAAATAGCCTAGTTGGTAAATAGGCTGTTCTGCTTGGTCAACTTTATTCTCCTTCAAGTCAAGAGTGATTACACATAAAGAAAAGTTGTGTCATAGGAGGGAAAATAACACCCATTGGAGAGTCCAGTGTAGAAGAGAGTTTGGAGGAAGCATGAGTCAGAAGAATTGAGTGGTCTTCTACCTAAAAGAGGCTTAAATACACTAAGTAAGCATTTCACAAGAAAAAATACAAAAACTAAAATGAGATTTTCAAAATTGCTGTTTTATTTCAAAATCTTTTTGTAAAACAGTATTTTTACCATGATAACAACATAGTAATACCATCAAAGAAAGCAAATTTAATTGATTAGAATTGTATTTGGTATAGATCAAGAAAGAACTACAGCTTGCCAAACCGAAATATTACCTCATTTCTGTGTTGTCACTTTCAACAGATAAATTCACCCTACTAAAGGAAATCTTGATTAACATGAAGGTGAAACTGTTTGAAAGGCAACTATGCTCACCACTACACCACCAGTGCTGAAGGTGAAAATATTTGATAGAGTCCATAAACTCAACCTGAATTTTTTTATCAAAGTAAACCATAGTTCATTTTTAAAATAGTTTCTTGTTAAAATGAACTTTCCCTCAGTTTACTGGAGTGGGGGAGGGCCACCTTAGAGGCCAACCAGCACCACTCCATCCCCCCCAGCCAAGGACAAAGCAGGGACTTTGTGTCTCAGGAGTAGGGGAAATGGTTAAGAAGCAGAGGAAGAGAAAATTGCTTTTCCAGCCTCTTTAACTTCCCATGTAGCCTACAGAGAAAAGCAAGCATCCCTTGGGAGGAAATAACAAAAGTGCCAAACAGTAGATGGATGGATGAAGCCTAAATCTCTGCAGTATATTAGAGCTCTTGCCTTTAAAATATCACAAAAGCCCCATGCCTTGCTCATGGTGGTTATCAGAAGGCCAAATGGACATTTACTGCCAATTGGCCCTACCTTTCTGGGGACATCTAGCCTTGACCGTGTTCCTTGGCTCCGTTCCTTTTCCTGCTAGAAATATTTCAGAGTCAGAGAAGGGGCTCTGGTGAAGCTGTAAAAGTCCAGTTGCCTTATTTCCTTTTTCTGTGGCACACTTGAGATAGCCAGTTAGACCATGAGAAGTATCCATAAGAGACAGCTCATTGAAAGAAATACAGATAATAGGCGGCAAGCAAACTTCTTAAAAAACCTCTCACCACTGTATTATCTCCAAGATGCCCCTACTTCAGACAAAAAAAAAAAAAAAGATAAAAGTCTTCCATAAAATAAACATTCAAAATATCTGTGATCCAGTATCTTTTTATTGACCACAGATTAGATTTCCAGGACAGGTTTTCCTTACCACATACTCTGATATGTCGAACTGTTTATTTCTAAGAAACTTCATGACCTCACTATGCACTGCCATCCCCCTCCCTAAACAATAGCCTCGACAAGCCATATCTCTTACTTATCTTAGGTAAGTATTAAGGTATGACCTGATGAAAAGAATTTTTTAAAGAGTATGTTGGATTGATTGTCTGAAATTCCATACCAAGCTAATGTTTTGACATTGTGTGGTCACAGCCTCAGAAATGTAAACAGAAAGGACATTTCCAAATGAAGACTGGAAAGGAGATTTAGCACTAACACATTTGCACCTCAGTAAGGAAAACTCACTGGAATTTCAACTACAATGTGCATCAGACCCCTCATCCTATCTCGTAATAATCTGACTTTTCATATTTTATCCGTTGTGATAAAAGCATCCACCATATAAATATAACTAGTCATTTCTTTAACCTTCCTCATTGAAGCAGCTCTCTGCAAATATTGTCCTCACTTACCAGAAGAGATAACGCCCCTTCATACAACCGAAGCTAGTTACACACTTCCTGTGGATCTTTCCTTCGTCACCTTTCTCCTCAGCTTGTACGTGGTTATTAAGGAATGCAGCATAACTGAAAGGGCATGGGACTTTGAGTTTGAAGAAGCACCTATGCATCTCTCTCATGAGGATATGTCTTAGAGGCATAGTTTCTAAGTCTTTCTTTTCTAGAAGAAGGCCTCTCTCTGCCTCAGACTAGTTCCTATACTGGTACTTATATCCATTCCAGATTCCTTCTGAAGCTTCCTTAATTTTCTGTCTTTTAGCCCCTTCTTCCTATGGCTTTAGCCTTTCCTCCATTGATTTCATCCTGTCAATACAGAAACACATTCATCTTTCTCCCATTCTTTTCACATTCAAAACTCTTAAGACTAGTCTACTTCACACTCCAATCTTTTTTCCAAACCCTGCTTCCTCTACTCCACTGAAATTGCTTTTGTTAACATAACCAATGATATCTTTTTTGGAAACTTTTTATGTTGTATTGGGGTACAGTCAACAATGTTATGATAGTTTCAGGTGAACAGCAAAGGGACTCAGCTATACACACACACACAAACACAAACACGTCCATTCACCCCCAAACTCTCCTCCCATCCAGGCTGCCACATAAGTTTGAGCAGAGTTCCATGTGCTATACAATAGGTCCTTGTTAGTTATCCATTTTAAGAGTGTGCATGTCCATCCCAAGCTCGCTAATTATCCCTTCCCCCATCCCTCCCACCAGCAACCATGTTTGTTCTCTAAGTCTGTGAGTCTCTTTCTGTTATGTAAGTAAGTTCACCTGTATCATTTCATTTTTAGAATCCACATATAAGGGATGACATATGGTATTTCCTCTTCTCTGTCTGACTTCACTCAGTATGACAATCTCTAGGTCAATTGATATTTTAATTAACTAAAATTAGTAAACCACTAGGTTTTATTCCAGTAAAATTTCTATGTAGGATTTAAAATTACTAACCACACCTTCTTGAAACTTTTTCTTTCTTTGCATTTTGTGGCATCATGTTCTCTTAATTCTTCTCCCTGTTTGTCCACTCTTCATTCTTTTCCCTTGGTATCTCCTCTGCTTCTACAAGAGGCTTAGAGAATTTTAGCTTGCCAAATTGAATTCTTACCTCTCAGCTATTGGAATCATCTCAAAGATTTCTGTGTATCAGGCTGATTTCATACGTTGGTAATGATTTTGTGATTAAGATAAGTATATAATGAAAATTGAATCATGACTACTTATTTCCCACGTACTTCTAAGGTGTCACTAGACATAGATAAATTTTAGTAACAACTAATGTGTTCATCTTAATTCTCATCTAAAGGTATAAAAAGCCACAGTAACAGCAATGAAAACAACAAAAACCACATTATTAAATGTTCCCTGAATGCTAGTGGTGTTATTGTAAAGTATTGGGGTCATCTGAGCATCTCCTCATCTGGTATACTGAGCCACAAATACTTTCTTCTTCCCTCTTTAAGGCAGATACCAGGTGGTAGGAAGGACTTCTCACTCATTTCTACTAAGCTATGAGGTCTTTCACCAGGCAGTGGGCTCCCTGAAAACAGGGATGATGTCTTAGTCATCTGCATCCTGTCTGCCAAGTGGCCCTGTTGGTGAGTAAGACCACAGTGAATGCTTATTGAATCAGTTTGAGTGAGATAAGCTAAGCCAAATTGAAAGGCATAGGAGTCACTTTTGAAAACAGTTTGAAAATTTCTTGAAAAAGTAAACATAGAGTTACCATGTCACCTAACAGAGCCATTCATAGGTATATGTACCTGGGAGGGTTGAAAACATATTTTGACACAAAAACTTGC